GCAAAAGGAGAAACACGAGTTGGAGTACAGACCAGAGCTCTGGCTGTGTAGAGGTAGGCGTTTTCAATATTTGAAACAGTTATTTGCCCTATTGGGCGAATTTCATACTCTCAATGTAAATTAAAGAGTGGTGTTACAACCTTCAAACGCTAGCCATTTGCTAGAGTGGAATTGCTATTCTGCCTTTCATTTTACTAATGTCGAAGGGGTCTTAGCACAGGTAAGCTATGGCAAAGTTAATAGTAGGACATGTCCTCGCCTGCTTGTCAGCCAGTTGTGGTGTACCCAACGTCGTGCTGGTGTTGTTGATGTCACTGCCACTGACTTCACCAACGCCTCCGTCTCTCTTCCCGACTTTCCGTGGCACCGTACACAATGACGGTGCAGCCACTCTGGTCTTCGAGGTGATATGATCTGGCAGCGTGAAGCTCTCCAAACCTCGTGCCTCTGTAGATGGCCTCTGCGCGGTCACCTCAACCTTCCACACGAACTCCTTACCGATGACTCCCTCCTTCTCCTTTGCGTCGGGATGGCGGTAGAGAGCCTGAGGCATCCTCTCCACTCTTTCAAGCTCCTGATGCAGTGGGTCGTCCGGACTAGGTGCAATTTTTACACTATAACATGAGAACAAACGAGTTGTTGATTTCTTCACGTTTTATTTCAAGAACGCACTCCACCCACCACTCGCTGACTAATCACATACCGATATGGCTGAAGGTCTACCACCTCATATCGTGAAATCGGACTTTTGTTTTGTCAACATTTTGCTCCTAAACATATTAGACATCCGTCCTTACTGAACCGATCATTGAAGGCTAATTTGGAGCCCGTCATTGGGGCTAGCAGCAGAGCATCTCCCCACCATTTATTCCCAGCCAAATGAATAGGTACACAAGTGTGCAACATGGGTTTCAAGGTCCTCCTGTTAAGTGCGCTATGACAGTTGTCGTTTCAATGTGCATGCAGCGCGTCAAAAGTCAGTGGCTGGTCTAAGTCCTGTCTATTCTAGTCTGGAACACTTACCATTGTAAAGTGGGCCAAAAGAAGGGCCACTTGGGCTTTTATACATAAGTTACACATTGCAAAACTTTATTTCGAGAATCGAGTCACTTCCGGCCAAAGCCAACATGCAATCGGCATAGAAGCAGACGGAACTCGTTGGAACGATAGCATTGCCTTCATCGAGTACATCATGGGTTTTAGAAGGCAGTTGCCAGTTAATTCTCCACTTCAAGACTCAAAGTGACATTTCGCATCGGCTTGGTTTACAACTGGTGCTGCAACATCCAATCAAGCTATTCAAAGTGACATTTTAGTCATTTGTCATACTAAACCTTTGAAACATTGCAAAAATCATCTGTGGTGTACCCTGCACTTCCTCACAAAGTGAAGTCAAATCGCATTGTAAAACAAAGAACAGGGTATTTTCATGCGGTCGCTCCTTTCCCCTACTCCCTCTCTACCCTTTTTGTGTATCGAAATGAGGGTTGTACAAAAGCCTGATACGAGGAGGCGTGGTGCAGTACAAACATTTATGGCGTCAAGACTCCCCAGTTTTATGATACCCTCTCATTGTCGGGTACTTCTTCCGACACAACAACACGACTCCATTCACATCAACTAGGAATGACAATGTGTGATGCTAGTTGCTATTTCACTGAAAAAGTACTCCCCTGTGCATTACTTCAATCAGGTCAATGAAGGTCCATGTCCAGCAAACTTGAATAAAGCACAAAAGGTAAGGACACTAAAGAGCTTGTAATGAAGAGGAAAATAAATGCTTGAGGAGGGCTAAGCAGACACCAATTAAGGAGACTAACGTACATGCAATGCATTTCTAGACTGAAGATCACCAACCATGTTCCAAGATGAAGGTCAACACTACAATGCTGCGGCCATATTAACAGTATTTCAGCTTCGTTATGTATGCCACCAATGAGAGAGAGCATGGAAGAACTGCGAGAAGAGGTGGGGAAGCAGGCGTCAGAATGCGGTGGGCCACAAAGAGAAATGACGGAGTTGTCCGAGTGATATTGCAGAAAAGGTAAGAGAAGCTAGGAGCGATATAAGGAAAGTAAAAGAGGAACTGCTAAAAAGGGACATAAGAGAAGGCACTCCATTCCTGATTAGGCAAACAACCAACCCATTTATTTATTCCCCATTTATTCATTTTAATTTATTTTCATACAATGATTTTATTTAATCGCTCAGGCCTTCTTTCCCACCCCTCCATTGATAGTCGTCTTTCCTCCTTTTCTTCTCCTCTATGCAATTTAGATTACTTTTTAATCTTCATCTTCCACTCTCACTCTCTCCTTCCCGTCTTTTCAAGTCGTTTTCATTCCTTCTTTCGACACTAGTTTGATGCTAGTGAGAGTCAGCAACTATGTGCTGTTATCGTGTGAATCGTGGAGGCTCCTGTGCCTAAGGTGGCTCACTTTTCTACACTATCGAATCGAAACTGGAACCATCCGCAAATCACGCACAAATGCGTACTTCAAACACCAACACCACCCACCCACTCACCAACACCACCCATCCACCCACGTGGTTGATTTGCTTCCCAGTTTTAATCCACCATCCTAGTACCTACATCCTGTGACCGTCAAAGAGCAACATAATTGATTGCAACCAATGCTTTTCTGCGTCCAAGGTCATGGCCACAGGCAAGAGGGCAGGCAAGAAAATGTGCATTCCCAATGCTCTCCAGACACCTAAGAAATTCTTTTGTGCAACACTAGGCGTTTTGAAACGAGAGTTGACTATCAATAAATGGTGGCAATCAAAGTGGAGGTGAGGCATCTTCTAGAGCAGCAGATGTGGTGGTGATTGTATGCATACAAATGCCTTCGTTTTAATTCACTCCAATTTTACCTACATGTGTCAGCTTTTTTAACTCACCCCAACCAGACTAAGTGCCCACTACCTCCAAACTTCCCTTCTCACATTCTTTGCCTTTTTGTGACTCTTCGAGAGCTTTAAGCATGTGGTCAGTAATAAGCAAACGTGGCGCACAATTTAAAAATGCAGCTGAGGGAAGAGCATTTGAAGTGTATGTGGAGGAGGGCTTGCATAAATTGGCTCATTTGCATCCGATTTGGATATGGGGATTACAAAAGGGAAGCAGTGAAACCTTGCGCAACAACGATGAATTTGGTGATTGCTACCTTCAGGGGCATGAAAGAGTTAAGATAATGAGGCTTGTCACATGTCTACTGGGAGTTCCAGACGCCTGTCTTTGACGAGGGTTACATTCTGCTGCAAAATAGCCCAGATTAAAGAAATTTTTTAAAGCCTAGCTTACTAGACATCAAACGAGTGCTAGGACTTTGACTTGTTTATCATAGGGGAATCTCATTGTGTTTATCACCTTGCTTACACCAAAAGGTGATGTATCGTGAAGTTTCTTTTAAAGCGTTACACTGAGTACAGTCCAATCCATATTCAAGGTTCTCAAGTGAAATTCCACAGGAAATCAGATTCGAATCTACTCCTTTCCATGTAATGGAAAAAGCAGTTATACATGTAGCAAGACGTAGAAATTTCAACGAATACCAAAGATTTGATGGAATTGATTATGCATTGTTGGTCTTGCAGCGTTTATATTTTTGAGGGAAGGCCTTCTAGTGTCCGCCCTAATATTTAGATGTGGGTTGATTAACTAGGCGCTGACCGCCATAATAGCATGCAAAAATTTTCATGAATTGGAAGCGTTTAATAATAGGAAGAGGAAAACTGCATAAACGCCTCTGACTAATTTAGAGTGCTCCACGTGAAATGGGAGAAGAATGGAATGCTAATGAAGAAGAGAGAAGCAGAGGGCAGAGAAGAGAGAGGAAGGAGGAGAGGTCTTAATTAACGGACAGTTGTTAGGTTTCTGAGAGTGCCAGCTTCGCAGCATAGTCCAAATCGTTCATTAGTCATTTCGACTTTGATTTCCTTTGTGCATCACACTCATTTGCCGGTTCGCATTTGTTCGAATTGGCAGAGTCTCAATTCCATCTCACACACTGCCCCAATTGTATATAGTGTTGCAACAACTCAACAGCACAGTTTCAATCATTCAGCAACCTTCAAATACACACTTTGTTGTTTCATGCAGTCCCAGTTGTCTCTCAATCACCTCACCCTAGTGTCACAAACAGGATAGCTGAGGTATTGTTAAGATTTTCTTGCATTTTGTCTTAAACTATCTCTATGAGCATGTAAGCAAGCAAGAAGGCAAGGAAAACAAATTTTGTTACTGAAATAAGCCCTTATATAGGATGAAGTTCTCTGAAACTACTTATCTAAGAAACAAAAAGCATTCCACTGGCAGTCGAAGTAAAATTAGTTTGTCTTGAGGGACAATAGCATCGTGCTCTTCAGTACACAACACAACCTGTCACCTACCGCACATTACTCGATAGATCCTATCAATAAATAAGTCCTTTATTCAATTTCACATTAAGTATCGGAGTGGGTTGATGCATGTCATTGCAAGGGCACTTCGATGGTGCATTGATGAAAGTGTAGAAGGAGATTCGGTGATGAAGTTGAGTCGAGTAGATGATGCTTGGGGCATGAGCATGGAGGTGGAGGGCTTGAGGTGAAGTGCGCTCTGCTATGGACGTGCACATGGAAATCAACGCTAAGGCGACATTTAATCCGCCAGTATTAGCTCTCCATCTCCAAATGTGCATAGAAAGAGCAGTTGCTATCAATTATATTGGAAACGCATCTTCGACGATCGCCTAAGTTTAGAATCTAATTGATCATTCTGCTAGCGATACCGTTAGGTGTGAATGAGTTGCTGTCTCAGCACCTCTCATTACCGATGACATTTTTGCAAATTTTCCACGTCCTTAAACTAACTGGCTTAAATTCTCATTATTAGAACGATGAAATTAGAAGATACTCAGTAGCTACCTAGCAGCAATTCCGACAGCATTTAGAAGGCAACTTAGAACGAACTAAATATTGCAAGTTTGCATATTGCTTAAGGAAGATTTTTTTTCGCAAGCTCCAAAGTAGCATGTAAATAGCAGAGGATATAGAAGAGACGAGAACCTACCATCAATAAACCTGGTTTTTGG